CCAAGGTAGATGAATTAACCCATGCTCAATTGAATTTCACATTAATTGCAATTGAAAATCACATTTAATCAACAATAAATAGAGAATGGAAAACTTACAATAACGACAGAAACCACAAGCTTCGTTTCTCAAGTATTCAGCTCTAACAATTCGAGCACAAGCCTAAAGAAAAAAGGAGAAAATCCTAAGAAAAACTATTTACAAAAGATCTTTTTATGTTTTGGAACCTTCAAATTAGTCCTGAGTTATTCTGAGTGCATTTCTATGGATGATCTGGCATGAGCCGATTTAAATGTGTACAAAACGAGGTCGAAATTTGTACAGTTACGTTCGAGTAACGGCTACCGTCGCTGCTATAGAGCAAGCGTGCATGCAATACCCGGGCGCGAGCGCGATGCCTCCCCCGCCGCAGGCGCGATGCAACTCGTGTGCGAGACACCTCGCGCGTGGTCTTATATTTTTTTCAACAATTCATAATTTGCATATTGCTTGAGAATTGACCAGCGTTTAACCCATAATATTTATATTCTGCTATAAATATTAAATGCATTAGTGTTAAAACTTTGATAAAATAAATGTTAATTTTTAGTAACTTTAATCCTTATGCAACGCACAAACTTTTTGTGATTAAATATTGTATCTTTATATTTTCATTTTTTATTTATATTTATTTCTTTAATTCATTTTTTAACTTATATAATGAGTTAAATAGTATCTATTCGAATATTTAGATATATTATATATTTTCATAATTACCAAGTGGTATAATTTAAATTATTATACATTGATATTTTATTAACTTAGAAATTTATAATTTGAAATTTATAAATTAGATATTTATAAGTTAAATATTGAATAGTTTTTCAATGTCCATAGATATTTATAAGTTGAAATTTATAATTCTGACCATCAATTTTATTTTTAATAATATGTTATTTAAATTTTCAATAGTATTATCACTGCATATGATATATTCAATGGAGATGTACCTTTTCATAGTTAAGTTTACTACATTTCAGAAACTTTTATTAATATTTTAAATCATTTATTAAGTTAGTATGATTTAAACATAGTTTTTTTGATTTTTTTATTAAATATTTTAAGTACTTCTGAATAGTGGATATAATTAATTAAATTAATATCTACAAACATAGATGATAATATATATAATCAAATCAATTCCCATAGGATATTTTTGAATTGTATCAATAAATTACTATTAAATTAATATAAGATCTTATGAAAAATATATCAAATAAATCTACGGTCAAATTTTCAATCTAAACTAATTTGTAGTTAATGAGTATTAGTCATTGAGTGTATAAAAATTAATTATATTTTTCATGCATAATATTTTCTAATAAATAAATAATAATTAAATGCCAAATATAGACGAAAAAAATTCCCGCCCAAAATCATGCCAATTATGGCAATAAGGATTGGTCCATTATATAGATATAGATATAGATATTTACATTTTCATCATTCATAATTTCACATTAAAAATACAAATTATTTTAATTTTTCTTGTACAAATATTAATATTTTTAAGTACTCGTGTAGAACACGGATATTGTACTAGTTAGTTATTAGTTAACAAATTACGTTTGTTAAAAAAAATTAAGAGATCTTATTTATTACACAAAATTTTAGTATAAAAAAGTATAGGATTTTAGAGATTTTCACGCCATTTTATTTTATTTAGTTTTTTTTAAATTCTAATTTAAAATTTTGATTATGAAAAATTGAAAAGAATCATTAGTTTTTCCTAAAAATAAAACTAGTTTTCCTACTAATACACCAACTTTGTACCAAACAAATTGAACCGAAATTTGGTTAAAACAAAGTGAAATTTCCTAAAAATGCAATCGAATTTTCCTAACATTGCATAAATATTTTTTCCAAATAAAATCAAATGAAATTAATTCTAATCAAAGATCAAAATAATTTGATAATATGCAACTGTTTTTTCTTAAAAAAAATGATATGAACTTAACCAAAAAAATATTATATGAACTTACAAAAATCTCGGTAAAATATAATTAAAGAAGAATATTAGAATCCAAAAATAATCGATCCATTCAAATTTTTAAAAGTTGGACACGAATTTGAAATTGATTTGAATGTTTTTTTTCTTAAATAAGTGGATAATGTTTAACTTTAAATATCAAAGATGAAGTAATTTTGTTACCGAAAAAGGTTGTAAATGTATATCCTATCCAAATATAAATTTTGTTTTAAAATAAAAATTGCTTGTGGTTTTATACAATTTGCACACATTTTTTAAAGAAAAAATTATTCAAAAAGATTGAAAGAATTTGTTATGTATTATACAACTATTTGTTTCCTAAATTTGTATTCAATTTGCATGATTTTTAAATTAATTTGTATTTTGGATTTGTTTTCAAAATAATTGACATATTTTTTGCATAAGAAATCCTAAATTAGTTACCAAAAAAACTAGTACGAATCTCGTGCGATGTACGGATAAGAGATACTAATTAATATTTATAAATTTAAAATTCTCATTTGATAATATTTATAAATTAGAAACATGAAATCAATATGTAATACAATGTACTTATATAATTTATTCAAAATGTTATATAAAATTTAAATTGTACAAAATTATATAAAAATTAGTATACATCTCGTGCGTTGCACATAATTGATAATAAATTATGGGTAAGGCTACAGTCTCATTATGGAACCATTCTGTTGGAATTTGTAACCGTTAGATGCACATATAGATTCGATGCACCATCTAACGATTACAAATCCCAACGGAATGGTTCCGTAAAGGGACTGTAGCATTTTTCATAAGTTACATTCTATCATTTTAAAATATGTGTCATTTCAATATTTTTATTCAGAAATTCGATTTGACTATAACGTGATTCCATAAAATAATTATTTTGCTAAAATTTTATCATATATTTAAAAACATATGTGAATAATAAGTATAAATATAATATGTTGTTCAATTAATTAAAATAAATTTATTTTTGTATAATATATCCAAAACAAAAAATTTAAGTAGTTAAGTAAAAGCAATTGATACGCTTTATCATGCTGAAAAAATGAACAGTGCATTTCACATAAAAATTATTTGAAATGTCGTAACAAAAAATGAATTAAATTGAGACCCACGAATTATACAAAAACAAAAAAGTGACCAGAGCTTTTTCTCAAAAAAAAAAAATATTATTGATTAATTTATTTCCTATAGAGACAACCATCAATACTAAAAATAAATTTGTTCACTATATACCATATATTAATTAATTCATATGATTTGAGTAATTAAGGTATATTATCTTATTAAAATATGACTTAATTACTTCCTTAAATAATGAGCCACAATTACCATATGTGATCTTTTAAAATATACCATAAATTGTTAAATTATTTTCTCGAAATAGTAAATTTTTTTGTAGAGAAATAGTTACTATTTAAAATATAATCAAACCTTCTTTTATATATATATAGATGGGATTCAAAATTTGGCATAAGAATTTCCATATTTGTTAAAAAAAATGGGATTCAAATTTTGTTATTACATAGTTGAAAAGAAAATCGAGGCAAATTTCCTAACTTATGATTAAAGTTGATTCTTAATGATTCACATGTATTTTTTCCGACCACTAATAGTAAGTCGAACTTTTCATTTTTTAAGTCATATAAAGATATTTTTCCAACAAACTTTTTATATTACTATAAATTGCACCAATATAAAATCAATTCACTGTGAAAATGAAGAAAAACAAAAAGGGAGCCAATTATAACTTTATAAGTCAACGGCATTTACTTAAATTTGCTATTTGTACTCGTCCCCAAATCCAACAATCTATATATATAGAGAGAGAGACAACCTATTTACGAAAAATAGTAACAAAAAAAGTCAACCAACATTTATTACATTCTATTTTCGGTATATTTTTTTCTTTTAATTTATTGCCAAAAAATTCAATCAACCCTAAATGTACCCTAAATTGATGGAATTTCGCGATTTTATTTAGGTGATTTTGGGCTGAGTTTCACGATTTTGTAGGATTCAAATTTCGTATCATTATTTTTTTTTATTCGAAAAGATCTGATTGCATACAACACATATCATTTCGAATTTCGAATTTAAATTATAAAATTCCTTATCATTAGGTAACCATAAAATCAAATTTATTATCTATTAAATTTGATTTTTTTTTTCTAATTGCAACAGATTTTTAATTACCTTTTGGGTCGATATTTGAATTTACAATATGTAAAAGTTAAACTTCATTCCCGTATGATTTTTTTCCCATAAATTCGGATTCAATTTTGGATTGAACATTTATAAATTAAAAAATTCCCGTATTATTTGTTTCCATAAGATCGAACAGGATGAAACATTGCATATAATTAAAAATTAGTTTGAATTATGAAAATTAGAATCTAAATTCTTAAAGATATTTATTTTTTGAAACAGAACCTCTTATTTTTGAAATAGAGATAATCTTTATTTTTTTCAAGTGTTTAAATTGCATATTTCTAGGTAGACTATATTTCAAAATATGAAGAGTATTTTCCAAATCAAAATTCTTAAGAAGAATTTGATTAATTACAGTCTCTTTTCATGCACAAATATAAATTATAAAAATCCCGACATAGAATCCATCGATAAAACTACCTTCGTGCTTCACTTTAAAGTTACTGCGAAATAATAGAAGAGGGTTGAACATATTAGTTTGTGAGAATGACGAGTTGGACATTAATCAAACTCATAATATTGTGTACAAAGATGTCTGTAATAATATATGATTTTTGTATTGTCGAACATTATATTATTGTACAATTAGCCTACCTATTATAACTTTTTTATTTGTTAATACGTCTTAAAATATAATATTTTTTAAATAAATACAGCCCGTGCAATGCACGGGTCACGCACTAAAAAGAATAAACCCATATATTTATCCTCAAATCTCATACCTTTATTTTCTCTCCCTTCCCTCTATATATAGGAAGGAACCCACCACCACCTTCACTCTCCTAAACAACCTCAATCCTCTCTCTCTCTCTACTTATTAAAAAAAAAAAAAATGGTTTTGGCCTCTCCAAACCCTTTGAAAATCGAGAAAATAAGAGACGACATTGAACTCCCAATAATCGACCTCCATTGGGACCGCACACGAGCCGCCGTGCAGATCGTGAGAGCCTGCGAAGAGTTCGGGTTTTTCAAAGTCATTAACCACGGTGTGCCGCAGGAGATTATTTCCCGGATGGATCGAGAGGCCCACGAGTTCTTCTCCAGGCCAGGGCCCGACAAGCAGCGGGCGGGCCCCGCCAACCCGTATGGATACGGGCTGAAAAACATCGGGCTCAACGGGGACATAGGCGAGCTCGAGTACCTTCTTTTACAAGCAAACGCTCCCTACATTTCGGACAAGTCCAAATACATTTCCACCGACCCGGAAAATTTCAGGTATAATTAACGGTGAGATTTTGTGTTTTTGTATTCATCTCGGTGTCCGCGTATTTAATTTAGTCAAGTAAAGTTATTCTTTGGCAGAAATTTATTCATATTTCGGAATTATATTGTGATACTCTAATTAAAAAACAATATGAACAAAATAAAAGTATATATGATATTTCATAATATAAATTTGTGATATTAGTTAGGTCAACTTTTACTAGCAAATTGATTAATCTGCCCTTAATTAACGAATAAATAGTAAGACCATGTAATCCCTCCATTTACATTTCTAGGAAAAGAATAAACTAATTAACAATTCATATTTTACATTTTGTCAAATATTGTAAATATTATATATTCATATCGGTTTTGTAGTATTTCTTTTATGATGCCATATTTTTTCCTTTATTTATAATCAATTTATTTTCTTTCCATAATAAAAGATTATATATACCATATAAATCATATAAGATTTGTCTAAAACCAATAAAGAATGAGAAAAAATAAAAATATGGAGGGATTTCTTATGTAACAATAGTAGTGTTAGGCCTATCTATAGGCAGCCCATCTAGGAGTGGGATAGCCCCTCTTGGGTAATTAAGTTATTTCTGATTTTGTTGATACATAGGTGCTTCGGGGCTCGGGCTTCGCAAGAATTTATTTCAATTTATGTAAACCATGATCCACCTCTTATTAACCAGCTATATTTTAGGGTACATATAAGTGGTCGTACAAAAATATGAGGTTGTAGCTATGTACAAAATATGAGGTTGTAGCTATATGTAATTATGACAACCCTAATGATATAGAGTGGAATAACATGTAGCCAGACCATTAATTTAAGACTTAGTTCGAGGAATAATGTAATAAAAGTTATGTTACACTACAAAAAAATTATTACTATATTCTAACGAAAAATCGTACGGTAATATATTCCAATAAAAATTCTAACAGAAATTCCAATAGTATAACTCCGTCGGAATGATTCCAATGGAAACTCTAACGATAATATTCTGTTGGAATGAGTTTTCTATTGCAATTTTAGATGGAATTTGATGATTTCAGCGGCTATTTTTCCAACGAGTTTTTACCGTTGGAATATGCAATTTTTGCTTGAATTTTTATTTCTACCCCCGTTAGAAATCTACCGTTGGAATTGTCAAAATCTAATGGAAATTCTAATAGAAAACTCTTTCCAACGGAATATTTTTATTAGTATTTCTGTTGGAATCCATTGGAAAATACCAAAAGGAAATAATAGCATTAGAATATTCATTGAAATTGTCGTTGGAATTTCATTGAAATATTTTTCGTTGGAATTTTCTATTGAATTTTTATCATTTTCTTGTAGTATGAAGTGTCTGTTTAGTTAGTTGGTAGAATGTGCATGATATCATGTTGTCGCTGCTCGCCATAACAGACGGCGTCGTCTTCTTCAGTGGAGACAGCTTCAGCGGGAACATCGTCCACCAGATGGCAGAGCGCATACGGCGCGATAGTTAGTTTGAGGCTTCTAAGGATCGACAACACGATCTCGATACATTGAGGGTTCTGTCAGTTGCGGCGGAACTGATCAGAGATTGAGTAGCGGAGACATTTTTCTTGATGTCGACCAACACTAAGATCTGATACGCGACATGGAATTAATTTTTTTTTTTAAAAAAATAAGAAATTAATCTTTTATTAAGGTTATAGTATGGCGACATTTGCAAACTTATTAATTTTAGATGAAATTAAGGCAAAAAAATAATTTTAGCTTAAAGATTATAATTATCAATTATCAACCATACAAGTTAACATTCATCTTCCATCAAGACGAGAAGGGGTAGTTCAGTTGATAACATTTTCACTTGAAATCAATAAGTCTCGAGTTTGAGTCATACATATAAGTGGAAGAACTACTATTAATTCCCTTTAAAAAAAAGAAAAACAATCATCTTCCATCAAAACTATAATTTTTTTTATAGGAACTAATTAAACCTAATCAAAAGAAGTAACCAAACGAACCATATGGGGATAAATTATTTATATGTAATTATATTCTTTACCTTGTTCGAGTGTTTTTTTAAAAAAAAAAAAAATAAAATTAGAAACCCTCAAAATTCAAATTATCATATTTAAATTACTATTATCGTAATCAAAATCTATCAACTAACTGTGAGAGGCTTAAAAGCGGTATGTTACACTACAAGAATTAATATGATGAAATTTCAATAGAAAATTTCAACGGAAATATATTTTAATGGAATTTCAACGACAGTTTTAATGGATCTTTCAATGTTATTATTTCCATTAAAATTTTTTAATGGATTCCAACGAAAATTTCAACAAAAATATTCAATTGGAATTAGTTAACCGTTGGAATTTCAACAAAAATGTTCAATTTAATTAGTTAACCGTTGGAATTTCCATTAAAATTTGACAATTACAACAATTGAAATATGGGTGAAAATAAAAATTCAAAATTGTATGTTTCAGTGAAAATCTCTACGGTAAAAAATCGTTGGAATAATAGCCATTGAAAAGCTAAAATTTTATCTAAATTCCAATAGAAAATTCATTCCAACGAAATAATTTCGTTGGAATTTTCGTTGGAATCATTCCAGTGGAACTTATACAATTAGAATATCCGTTGGAATTTTTATTAGAATATATTACAGTAAGATTTCCGATGTAATATAACTTTTTCTTTTGTAGTGTAAGGGATAAAATCCGTATGTGTACTATAGACGCGGTTAATAGTTCTAATGTATTGCTACTACTAATAACTGTAAAATAAGCATAATGAGAATAATAATAATATGGTGTTTGTTGATTTTGGAACTCTGAAGTCTTTTTAAGGAAGAACATTTAATTTGATGCTGTCCACTTTTTGGGCATATATATTTATATTGCTATGATATTCTTCATGATTTTTGTGCCTTTATATAACTTAAATCCCTTCCTTAATATAATTTGAAAATGTGTTGAGTCTAAATGGTTGGCTCGCACGCTTCGAAAGTTTACTTGGCAATATTACATGCTTCGGTTTTTTATTCGGATAAAAATTAATTAATACAATTATATTCTTTTGCTTAATCTTTGCCATGTTTTCTTAATTACATGCTTCAGCTTTTGGTTCGGATAAAAATTAATTAATACAATTATATTCTTTTGCTTAATCTTTTTCATGTTATCTAATTATAGAATAGGATTCTTGGCCGTGTATTCTTATATGAATAGGATTCTTTGTCGTGTATTCTATTAACCGGATTGCTTAATCCTATTACTTTCTCAATACTAATTGATTATGTTTAATACCATAACTAATTATATTTAATTAGCCACTGTGATTTCAAATTTTAGAATGAATAAGATCTTTAAATATCAAATCTTTCTATGATTGTGATATATATAAAGATAAATGTCCAATTATTTCATGATTCTTAAATAAATATCCAATCATTCCATGATTGTTAGAGTAAATACTATTTTTTAATATTAAAGTACTATGTATCAAGTAATATGTTTTTTTGTACCATTATATATGTACACGGTTTCTTCATTCCACAATTAATTTATAAGTTCTTTTTTACCTTGGTTATGATATAAAGTTAAAGTATTCGTGTATATGTAATTCTTTAATATTAATTTACTAATGTATTTTCAGATTCTTAAAAAAATTATCATTTCATAATTATTTAAAACAGTGCATCTACCTATAAATATACATGGTTTTATTTTTTAAAATAAAATTAAAAAATAATTTTACTAACTCATCAAAAGATGATTAATTTGATATATTTTATTTGTGTACAAGGAAATTTTCAAAAATTCTAAAATTACATATAAAAATTAAGTAAAAAATTAATTTATTTTGCTTAATACTAAACAAACGTATTCTGCACTTATGCATATATATATTACCATATTATTTCTATTTATTTAAAATATATATATTTTTATTTAATAATAGTAAATAATATCGATAATTTGATATGATATAAGTGCAAAAGTTCATTATGAGTTGACATTTTTATTTAATATATGGGTGTTGAATTATTATGAATAAAAAAATATAATTTGACAATTTAATTAAAACTAAAAGTAATATTTTATATAAAATTAAATTTTTTAGTTTAAAAAAAATTAATATTTTTTACATATGTTTCCTAATTCAACACTCGTGTATTTACACGGGTATTGGACTAGTATCTTTTAGATGTATTTGTAGAGGAAAAAATGCACATTATATTCTAATACTTGTCAATACGGGTAGTAGAATTCTTGATGTTGAATGCATGGAGAAAATGAAATAGTTTCATAGGAAGACTAGCTAAATAGCGTCCTAGTGGGATGTAAATTTGACTAATAGGTTATAGACTGACCTGACAATTCGTAAACATATTAACTCATCAATTTTTTATTTTAATTTTTATTTCTTTAATAAAATTATAACACTATTTAAAATTAATTTAATATATGAGTTCACCCTACTCAAATTCATTACACTAGTTTACAAATTAAATGAACATTGATCCACTAATAAAGTCTTAAACAAAATTCGACATTTTCCAATTGGCTTGTTTCACAAGTGTCAACAAAATTTTAATTTTGGTCCTTTATTTGATTACTTTTTTTTTTTCGTTACCTTGTCCAACTTTAATTTCCATAAGTTAATCTATAGTTTTAATTTAATTTATTTACTTTTTTTTTTGGTCAGTTTATCCAACTTTATTTTTAATAAGTTCAGCTGTGGTTTCTATTAAAATCGGTCCACTAATTACACTCGATCACGCGGCTGGATTGCATCCTTTTGGTCCTGCTAATCCTTTTCTAAAACATTTTTTAAAAGTTATTTTGCAAAATTGTTAATAAATATCTAATCTCATTTTAAAATTATGCATGTTTAGGGAAACTGTATATCTTATTTCAATAGAAATTTTAAATAATTATGCCTAGTACAAGCAGCTTTTTCTGCACCAAAGTTGCTGAGTACGTAAAACTATAGCAGGATTATAAATGAAAAAGTGCCTTGGAAATGTGCAAATTGGCATAGCTGTCTCACTTATCATAATCGGTCTGCACATTTAGGTCTGAATTGCATTCAGTATATACATATTTAACTCATTTTTAGATATTTGGGAATTAAAAAACTAAAATGAAAAATAGAAACCAAACTGTAGAAATGGATAGATATGATGATACAGTTGTATGGGCGCTCTCTTTCAAGTAAAGATGAAGATTAGAATCAGATGAGTGACAAGTCTGATACAAAGGCAAAATGACCAATCAAATCAATAGATTCTCAAAAATATGGTAAAAACTGAACTTCCCAAATATAGGGGAAGGCCTATGTCACTACTTTTACCAAATTGTGACTGTTTTCTTTGCTATAAGTAGCTACTTTCTTTTGAATAGAATTTTACCAACTGCCATGTAACAGTCCAGTTCCAATTCCCCAAAGGCCTGAACTGAAATTAAATGATAATGATAATAAAGAAAAATATCAGAATAATAAAATTATTTTTTAAATCCAAAAGACATTCTGAACGTAATTTATGTGACACTCCATTTTTCTATGTTTGTTAATGATACATAATGTTATGCACATGTCATTAATTTATGAAGGAAACAAAATTTTAGTTCTAATTAAAAAATTGTGACAACAAATGCTGAAATTAAATTATATTGATGTTAACCTTTACAAATCACACTTTATTGATCAATTCATAAATATGATTCAGGTGTGACGAATTAGACACATGTTGTCTTAGGAATTAAAATACTCTTACTTTATGGTCTTTGATATTTTTATTTTTTTTTTTAAATATCGTTTTAAAATTGTGACAGCATAAATCTTGTCTCGTTTTGCAGCGGTGCAGCGATTGGTTACGTAGCAGCAGTAAAAGGGTTAGCATGTGAAATACTGGACATGATTGGAGAGGTTTTATCCGGTGCGGCGCACCCCACGGCCTCCGTTTTCAGCAGGCTAATCAGCGACGCCCAAAGCGACTCCCTCTTCAGGCTCAACCACTACTTGCCCACGTGTCATCCCAAGATTGGGTTCGGGGAGCACACGGACCCTCAGATCCTGACCCTCCTCCGATCCAACGGCGTTGGCGGACTCCAAGTCTCCACGGAGGACGGGGTGTGGGTCCCGGTCAGCCCCTACCCAGAGTTGGCTTTTTGTGTCAACGTGGGCGACGTGCTACAGGTGGGCCCCACTAGATTATGATTTTGCGCTTAGTTTTTTTTTTTTTGCTTTAATTAGATAGTCGAGTCGGAAAATTTCAATTCATGCAGTTAATTATCGAGTTTTTCAACGTTATATCAATTCACATCCGTGTGTGTATTTGCGAACGAGTGTGTTGATATGGTTAAAAAACCTGATGATGATTAATATGCAGTAGAATTAAGGATGTTGTCATCCAATTGGTCAAGCTATTAGTTTAATGATTTACTGATCCGACTAATTATTGAGCCGGTTGGATCATTAATTAATTATCATATTTTTAAAAATATATAGTATTTCAAATAATAATTTATATATATCTATATGTAATTTTTTTTTGTTAAATATTTAGATATTTTAAATATTCCAATTATTATTACTGAATAAATACATGTTTTTTCCTTTTTTTTTTTTTTCAGGAGATGG